TCACGCTGCAAGACATGGGGGGGATGCTGCCCCAACCCCCACCCCCACCCCCACCCCCCCCCCCCCCCCCCCCCCCCGCCCCGTGCCACTCCCCGGGACAGGGTTAGGCTCTCTGCTGGCGGGCCTGGCAGCCAGAGGCTCTGGGTTCTCTGGGGAACACCCCGCAGTTGTGATTCAGGGGCACGGGCGGCTCCTGAGATTCTGTGCCACACAGCTGTCCCACATGGTCACCGCACCGCGGGTGGTGTTCACTTTCCAGAGAGTGCCCACAGTGCCCGCCGGGCACGATGCCTTATTCATCCCGCCCACAGAGGGGATGGGTGGTAGTTTCACATAAAAGAATTTGCAGGTGAAGGTGACCCCTTAAAACATCGAACACTTTATTTTAGCTGTTTGCCCAGACGCCCCTTCTGATGCAGGCCACCTGCTCCCCTGACGCTGCACCTTACTGTCCACTGTCTCCGGGCCGCTGGCGGGAGCATGCGACGGCAGAGGGGATGTGCCCCGCGGCGCCCTTCACCATAGAGGCTTTCCTACTGGGTGGGGGTGGTAATGACCCAGAATGAAGGGGGAGGTGCGTCTCCAGGGGCGTGTACTTCTGACTCAGCACAGGGCGCGTCCCCCTCCCTCAGCCGAGACCCCCAACTCTAACCCAGAGGCCCTGGGTGCAAGTTCTGAGTGGGAAGCATTGTCACTGGCCTTCTCTCGGACGCTGCCACTGTCCATGCTGGGGCACACAGGCGTTGGCAGAGATCAGACTCATACAAGCATTACGCCGGGAGGCTGCGGGACAGTGATACCTTCGGGGGTTGCTCAGGTAGCCTGAGCTGGTCGTCGCTGCCTTCGATGGCCCCAGACGGTTGTGCGGCTGTCACTCTACTGCCCCCGGTGTGCCCACTGTCAACCCCTCGGCTCCCGCCTTGGCTTGCACTCTGCACTCTGTTCCTAACTTAGAAGATGCCAAGCTCAGTAGATCGTAAGCTCTTGGTGGGCAAGAACCTTCTAGGTTCGTGTCTCTCTCCCCCTAAAGAGTCCGGCGTAGTGTCTGGGACACCGTAGGTGCTCCGTAAACCCCACCGGAATCAAGCTGAATCGAGCCAGGAGGCTTCGTTTCACCCACAGTCCTAAGCCAACGCAGATGTACTCTGCAGGGAAGGGGGTTTCTGTGGGGGCTTTCTGCCCGCCTTTGTGGCTCCTGTGCATGCCATTTGGAGGTCTGAATGCTAGAGAATGGAGGGGTGGGGGGCTGAGAGCTCGGGGATGGCGATGGGGGGCAACCACCTGCAAAAGGCTCTGCTCAGGCTTGTAAGCCTTCAGTGACCACTGGCCGGAGCGCAGGAGATACCGAGGTGAGGAGAGTTAACGTGCTAGCCTCGGGCAGCCAGCCCTGCTCCGGCGGTAAGTGTTCGAGGCCCAAGGGTGGCACAGAGGAGCCAGAAGTAACTCGGTCCGGGAGGCGGTAACACCAGGCGAAGCTTTCAGAGGAGGGACATCTGTGCCGGGGTCTGAAGGCTGAGCATGAAGTTGCCAGGACATGCAAGGAAGCAAAGGGCACGCTGGGGGAGGGGACAGCTTGGGACGCAGTAGTGGGAGGGGGGCGTGGAATTAGAGAGAGGAGGTGTGGAGCGGGGCTGGCCAGGGGGAGGTCAGCAGAGGCGACTCATGGAAGGTTTTGGATCTGGGGC